ATTCGCACAGTTCAATCGCCATGGAGTCAAAGTCTATTTCAGTTCTTCGGTATGCGATTGACTCCATGGGGCGGCTATCTGGGTTAAGTCCATTCGTGTGGTTGAATCTCCCGAACGGCTGGCATTCGTATACTTTTGTCGATTGAGAAGGGGAGGTCGACAGATTCAGCGGTGTTCGGCTGAAAAAGTGTCCGTTTTCAGATCCATGAAATAATCGTCGAACACCGCTGGTCTTTCGCATGGACAAAATGGCCGCCGCCTCGTGGTCGACATACGAACGACGACCACCCGGCATTCGGTTTTAATTGAGAAGTGTCTGTGGTTAACCGCAACATTCGAATTGGGATCAATAGGTTAACCAGCAGCACACTTCTCTTCTGGGTGGCCGTCCGTTCGGTAGTTCCGTTCGACAAAAACCGACATTCCCTTGAATAAAGCATACGAAAGGGGAAATTCATGTAACCGGCAAAACAGGCGAACAAAGCATTTGTAATCCAGACAGATGGGTCTGTCACACTTTCATTAGTCCCTAGCCTTATCTTATAGTTAGGATAGCCGTATGCCTATCCAACGCATGCTTAAACTCCTTTACTGTGTTAACCTCTACCACTTCAGCTGGAAGGCTATTCCATGCATCCACTACCCTCTCAGTAAAGTAATACTTCCTGATATTATTTTTAAACCTTTGCCCCTCTAATTTAAGACTATGTCCTCTTGTTGTGGTAGTTTTTCTTCTTTTAAATATAGTCTCCTCCTTTACTGTGTTGATTCCCTTTATATATTTAAATGTTTCTATCATATCCCCCCTGTCTCGTCTTTCCTCCAAGCTATACATGTTAAGATCCTTTAACCTTTCCTGGTAAGTTTTATCCCGCAATCCATGAACCAGTTTAGTAGCCCTTCTCTGTACTCTCTCTAAGGTATCAATATCCTTCTGAAAATACGGTCTCCAGTACTGTGTACAATACTCCAAGTTAGGTCTCACCAGTGTTCTGTACAATGGCATGAGCACTTCCCTCTTTCTACTGCTAATACCTCTCCCTATACAACCAAGCATTCTGCTTGCATTTCCTGCTGCTCTATTACATTGTCTGCCTACCTTTAAGTCATCAGAAATAATCACCCCTAAATCCCTTTCCTCATATGTTGAGGTTAGGACTATCAAATATTCTGTACTCTGCCCTTGGGTTTTTACGTCCAAGATGCATTATCTTGCACTTATCCACGTTAAATGTCAGTTGCCACAATTCTGACCATTTTTCTAGTTTACCTAAATCATTTGCCATTTGGCTTATCCTTCCTGGTACATCAACCCTGTTACATATCTTAGTATCATCAGCAAAAAGACATACCTTACCATCAAGACCTTCTGCAATATCACTAATAAATATATTAAAGAGAATGGGTCCAAGTACAGATCCCTGAGGTACCCCACTGGTGACAAGTCCAAGCTTCGAATATATTCCATTAACTACAACCCTCTGTTGCCTGTCACTCAGCCACTGCCTTACCCATTCAACAATATTGGAATCCAAACTTATAGATTGCAGTTTATTGATAAGCCTTCTATGTGCAACAGTGTCAAAAGCCTTACTGAAATCTAGGTAAGCAATGTCTACTGCACAAGTTTTTTTCTTCTTGGAATAACACACTTGAGCATCGCATTTTTACCTTACCATCATCCAAATTATCCAAGAAAGAACAAGAAGAAGGATGGGGACATCCTATTAAGAGTCCCATTACGTTCCCCATGAGAGCCATGTGTTAATTTGGCTCTGGGCTTGTGAGTACTATCGCTCTATTGCTTCTATTATATATTTATACTATATAGTATTATACTATGTCACTTTGTTTTATTTTCTAGAACCGTCAGATGTGTGTTCCACCAATTGTATGTATTTATAGCTATGCTATCATTACTCTACTCCCTCGTGCACCCTGCAGTGATACTGGGAGCCGGGAATATAGCCATTAGGCCTTATTGTGTTAAACCCACCACTACTTCACTATTAGCCCTATAAAATTTTAAACAGTATTTTTATGTGTGTGCTGTTCCTTAGGTTGTATTATGTATACATTTTTGTAGAACCCACTGTTATTGGAGTATTGTGAAGTAGTGGTGGGCTTAACACAATATGGCTAGCCTTATATTTTAAATTGTATTTTATGTATGTGCTGTTCCTTAGTCTGTATAAACTATGCATATCTTTGTCAGGTTGTATTTAGGAGACAGTGTGTATATCTGTAGGTCAATGTGTGTATGTGTCATTGTGCTTGTCTGTGTGTCAAGATGTGTGTATCTGAGTTTGTATGTGTGTGTATTGGGTGTCAGGGTCTTTGTATGTGTATCTCTGTGTAAGGGTGTGTATCTATGTAAGTTTCAATGTTTGTATCTGAGTGTATGTCAGTGAATATATTTGTGAATGTATGTGTTAGTATGTTTATATATGTGCACCAGTGTGTTAATGTGTATGCATGTATGTATGCATGTATGTGGCAGTGCCTGTGTATATGTGCATATGTCCCAAAAATCAAACACCAACCCAATGTCAGGGTCTTACCTGAGTTGGGAGTATGTAGCGCAGATATGTTTGCTCACCCTTGCAGATAGACACAGTCCAAGGTGACCAGGTAAGGAGCAAGAACACAAGTAGAAGGATGGTCGAGGGGTAGCCAAAGTCAAAGGATGCCAGAGGTCATGATAAACAAAATCAGAAGCTGGGGTCAATATGGAGCACAAACTTGAAAACAGGAACTGATCACATACCGTGATATATGCAGATGAGTGATCAATCTCAGGTGAAGAACAGCAATAGATGAAGTCCAGCCCCCAGTGCTGCAGACAAGCCAGGATACAAAGGACTAGAACAATTCCAAGGATTGGGACTGCTGTGGCTCAAAGGCAGCAAAAGACCAAAGTTCAACTCCCCTGTTGAGCATTTATGGAGCGGCCACGTCTGACTGTCTGTATGGCACAATGAGAACCGTGACACTCAGCATGCAAACATACCCCTACAGTCAAACACAAACATTACATACAAGCAAGCCTATATTAAAACTTTAAAATTATATACAATTGCCCCTTCATTCAAACACCAACACTACACAAAAGTATACATGCATGTATAAGCCAAGATTACAAAACACATCACTGCATTCAAACATAAACACTATGCACAAGTGCACTACTGCATTCCAATGGCAACAGTACATACAATTACAACCCTATATGCATTCACATACTGCATTGAAATGCACAAATACAACCATACAAGGATGGGCAAATGGTAAATTCCCAGCTGGCATAGCATTATAGGAGTTTGACAGATGAGGATCTACCTTTTGTTCGCCCCTGTGTTAGAGGGGGTCCAGAAATAGTTCTTGCATTAGAGCCATCTCTGCATAAGTTCCATCACTGTAATATAGGCTTTGGTTCCTGCCTGTGGGATTTAAAGCTTTGTGGGATACATTTTATGTGCTTTCCATTGCTTCATTTAATTTTTCCTGGCGAACTACAGATGAATGACTCCCACTGCTGGAAAGATTATTGTCTGAGCAGCCTTTGCCTGCTCTCCACTTGTGATTGCATTAGCTGGTTCAATGTCAATATATTTAATGATATTTTATGATGGAAATTAATAACTACTGTGAGTTGTCTCTGTGTGTTTTGATGTGATCACATATATGTTAAGGGACATTGCTTTTTACATGTTTGCCATACATTGGTACATTTTCTGATTGTGAAGGTATTATCTGAAAGTTGCTAATGTGGTCAAAGTGCTGATTTTAAAAAGGCACAGGGCACCTTATATTATAAAGAAGGAATTTAACATACGCAACATGTACAAAACTAGACTGAATCTTCTGCCATGAACATAGTTTGAACTGAAAACACAGATGTAGTATATGTGTATGTGTGTGTGTGTATATATATATATATATATATATATATATATATATATATATATGAAACCAAGAGGGCTGCACTCACCTGAACATGCATACATTAAAGGGTGCTGCTGGGGCCAAAATATACAAAATACAGAATCCAGCGCACTCGCTTAAGCACTAAACAAAGATTTCAAATCTCAGAGATTGTAATCGTTTTATTTAAAAACACCTCACCTAGGCAAAAAATAATGGGGGTTTGGTTACATTATATGATCATACATTGCATAAGCCTGCCAACTACGTCAAATTACCCCATATTCGGTAGGTCCTATCCAGGGCCGGATTAACATAGGGGCTGATGGAGCTGCAGCTCCAGGCTCAGGCCCATGGAATAGGCCCATTTAAAAAAAATATATATATATATATATATTTTTTTTTACACCCTACTCTTAGGTTTGCCACCTGACTGGTATTTTACTGGCACAACCGGTATTTGAGGCTGCCTGGCCATGCCGGGATTGCAGTAATACCACCAATACCAATGCAGGTATTTTTCTCAGAATAAATGGAGATTACTCTGCAATACCAGAACCAGCCAGTAGTTACTGTGGGGGAGCAGCAACACAGCACAGAGTCCAGACAGCAGCTCCAGAGCTCAGGTAAGTGAAGGATGGGGACACTGGGGGACACATGGGGACACTGAGACACTAGGGGACACGTGGACACTGAGACACTAGGGGACACTGAGACACTAGGGGACATATGGGGACACTAAGACACTAGGGGACACAGACACTAGGGGACACAGGGGGACACAGAGACTAGGGGACACTGAGACACTAGGACACATGGGGACACAGACACTGGGAGACCTGGAAACACTGAGACACTTGGGGACACTGGAAAACATGGGGACACTGAGACACTAGGGGACACTGGGACACTGAGTCACATGGTGATGCTGTAAAAGATTGGGAGACACAGAGACATTGGGACACGGAGACACTATGTCCCCATTTCTCCCAGTGTCCCCATGTCCCCCATCCAGTGTCACTAGTGTCTCAGTGTCCCTAAGTCTCCCAGTGTCTGTGTACCATGTCTCCCAGTGTGCCTAGTGTCCCCATGTGTCCCAGTGTCCCTATATGTCCCAGTGTCCCCATGTTTATGTCCACAACTGTCCCCAAGTCTCCCAGTGTCCCCATGTCTCTGTGTCCCTAGTGTCTTAGTGTCCCCAAATGTTTCAGTGTCCCTATGTCTCCCAGTGTCTGTGTTCCTAGTGTCTCAGTGTGCCTAGTGTCCCCATGTCTCCCAGTGTCCCTATATGTCCCAGTGTCCCCATGTCTATGGCCATAACTGTCCCCATGTCTCCCAGTGTCCCCAAGTGTCTGTCTCCCAGCCAGTGTCCCCATGTCTCCCAGTGTCCCCTAGTCTCCCAGTGTCTGTGTTCCCATATCTCTGTGTCCCTAGTGTCTTAGTGTTTCCAAATGTTTCAGTGTCCTCATGTCTCCCAGTGTCTGTGTTCCTAGTGTCTGTGTCCCCATTTCTCCCAGTTTCCCTAAATGTCTCAGTGTCCCCATGTCTCCGTGTCCCCGGGTCTCTCAGTGTCCCCACACTGAGACATTGGGACACTGGGAGAAATGGGGACACTGGGAGAATTGGGGACACTGAGACACTGGGAGACTAGGGGACTGGGCGACATGGGGACACTGACACTGTGATACATAGGGACACTGAGACACTGGGTGACTTGCGAGACTGAGACACTGGGAGCAATCCATCTATACAGCAGAATCAAACTGTAGTTTGTTGGTGATTTTCCAGAATTTTCTCTGATGTCACTCCTTGTGATTATACAAATGATTAAGGCTGATATTTTTTTCCAGGAAAGGTGGCAACCCTAACTACTCCACATACTCTTGCTTAAAGGAGCACTATAGGGTCAGGAACACAATCATGTATTTTTGACACTATTATGTTAAAACCAACACCCTGGCCCCTTCTTGCCTCCCTAAGTATAGTAAAATATAACTTGTATTCAAGTCTGCAGCTGCTGGCTCTGCCTCTGAATTGACTGTCTGCTGACATCATCAAAGTGGTGGTCTGAGCAAATTACAATACTTCCCCATAGGATTGGCTGAGACTGTCAACTAGGCAGATCAGGGGCAGAGCCAGCACAAGTCCAACATAGCCCTGGCCAATCAGCATCTCCTCATAAATATAAATTGAATCAGTGTATCTCTATGAGGAAAGTTCAGTGTCTGCATGCAGAGGGCAGAGACACTGAATGGCAGTGCTGCACATTAGGCAGTACTGCCCCAGGAAGCACCTCTAGCAGCCATCTAAGGAGTGGCCAGTGGAGTTATTTTCTCTGAAAAGACAGTGGTTACTGCAAAAGGCCTGAATGGAATGATTCTACTTACCAGAACAAATACAATAAGCTGTAGTTGTTCTGGTGACTATAATGTCCCTTTAAGTTTGGAAGCTTAAGAGGGATGTATGGGAACAAAACTTGTGTGGACTAGCTGACAATAAAATTAGTTTAGGTAATGCAGATACTGGTCTCTCTAACACTGTGGCATGTCCCCTTTCTTCTACACTCACTACATACACTTTTTCTCTGTCTCAGACTATATACCAGGAACTTCTGCCTGCTAGTAAGAAGGCAAGGAGACAAGTGGACCAGCGAGTGCTAGGGGACAGTCCTTAGAAAGCACAGAGTGAGCGCATCATTAGATGCATTTATGTCAAGCTCAAGGTGCTGCCTGCATAGTATGCCCTTAGTTGGCCAGCTGCAGGATTGGCGGGCAGCCTGACATGCATTCATGCCAGCTGTCCTTCAAATTCTTTGGACAGACATGCCCCCTTTTTGGGCATGTTCTCCCCTTTTGGCAGGTCTGGTACACGTGATTCGCACCAGTGGCCCATCCTTTTACCCTGACCATTGACTTCCTGCTTCACTGGACACTGCTGTTAGGGGTTATGGATTTACTTGAAAGATGAAAGCATAAATTAGAGAGAGATTAGCATAGAGTATGTGTTTTCCTATAGCTGCATCCTATGAGTTTCCCTCCAGCACCATCTCCATCAGATACATGACGCTTGGGAGGTATGACTGTTTTAGTGTTTTTGGTCGATACGATTCCGTAATTAGGCCCATCATATTTGTCAGCACCAGGCCCAGTGTGCTCTTAATCCGGCCCTGGTCCTATCCTAGTAGCAGCCTAATGCTTGCTCTTATGAGATTAATCCACTTACTTAGGAAATACTTCCTTACTGGGACTCTCTGCAAGTCCAGGCTAAATAGGGTCCTGGAATGAGGCACCTGTAACAGGGAGGGATGCAAAACCAAGGAGTTGGCCTGGGACTCCGAAATATATAAAAGAAACCAAGAGGGCTGCACTCACCTGAACATGCATACATTATAGGGTGCTGCTGGGGCCAAAATAATATTTTGGCCCCAGCAGCACCCTATAATGTATGCATATATATAAAATTGACATTGTATGCAAGGAGCAGGAGCAGACATTATTCTAATGAAAATATATGTTATGTATTTATTTTACTATTGAGATTCCTGAACTGAAGAATATATCACAATAGAATTAAAAACGCCATTCATTATCACACCAACTTTATTTTTATTGTTTAGTACATAGGAGCAATGTAACAATGCAATATTACTTTACTATGTGAATAAATACAATTTGATTTATCCAGATTGGACAATGAGGGTAAATCCACCCAACACCCTCAAAGAACATCATTGATACGCAACTATTTAGAGATGAACGGGTCTAAATCTCTTTGTTTTTTACAGCACAAGCATAAAAAATGTGATGATAATATAACATTTCACTGCGTATTTTGCTTTCCATCATTTCCATTCTTTCAATAGAAAAACCGCAATCTTTCAGAGCTTTTCTTAGATCCTGTTCATTGTAATTTAAGAGATGATATGCATTCAAACTAATCTTAAAATGTGATGCATTAAATGCCCCAATCAGTAAAAGACGCCCTCCTAATTTAAGCATAGATGATATAATCTTTAGATTATGACGGTAACTGTCTGGGTCTTTTGAAATGAAACCCAGCACATGCATGCTAATCACACAATCTGCTTTTGGCAGCACGACAGGGTCGGTTGGGTTTTCTTTGGTAAAATCACATGGCAATATGGCTTTAATACATCTTCTTAGATCATCTTCCTTTTCAACCCACTTCTCACTGTAAAATATAATAACACAATTTTATGGCATGTGATATATATAGTGAGGGGAAAAAAAGTATTTGATACCCTCCTGGTATTGAACGTTTGCCCACTGACAAAGAAATGAACAGTCTATAATTTTAATGGTAGGTGTATTTTAAAGGACCACTATAGGCACCCAGACCGCTTCAGCTTAATGAAGTGGTCTGGGTGCCTGGTCCATCTAGGATTAACCCTTTTTTTATAAACATAGCAGTTTCAGAGAAACTGCTATGTTTATAAATGGGTTAAACCAGCCTCTAGTGGCTGTCTCTTGACAGCCGCAAGAGGCGCTTGCGTGCTTCTCACTGTGATTTTCACAGTGAGAAGATGCCAGCGTCCATAGGAAAACATTGTGAATGCTTTTTTCTATGGACTGGCTGAATGCGCGCGCGGCTCTTGCCATGCATGCGCATTCAGCCGAAGAGGAGGAGAAGACAGAGGAGAGGAGGAGGAGAGCTCCCCGCCCAGCGCTGGAGAAAGAGGTAAGTTTAACCCCTTCCTCTCCCCAGAGCCCGGCGGGAGGGGGACTTTAAGGGTGGGGGCACCCTCAGGGCACTATAGTGCCAGGAATACGAGTATGTTTTCCTGGCACTATAGTGGTCCTTTAACAGTGAGAGACAGAATAGCAAAACAAAAACAAAAAAAATCTAGAAAAACGCATGCCAATGAGTGAAATGAGAATTTGATCCCCTATCAATCAGCAAGATTTCTGGCTCCCAGGTGTCTTTTATACAGGTCCTTTTAAGAGAGTGCTCCTAATCTCCTAATCTCTGCTTGTTAGCTGTATAAAAGACACCTGGGAGCCAGAAATCTTGCTGATTGATAGGGGATCAAATACTTATCTTACCCATTTACATGCAAATGTCATTTTGTTTTGTTATTCTGTCTCTCACTGTTAATACACCTACCATTAAAATTCTAGACTGATCATTTCTTTGTCGGTAGGCAAACGTTCAAAATCAGCACGGGATCAAATACTTTTTCCCTCACTGTAATATGGACCTTACAAGTTATTCCTCTTCTCTTTTCTTGGTTCTCATAAATATTACTACCTACATTTATCAGTAGCTATAATTTTATTGCTATAATTGCTACTTTCCATTATTTATCACTCACAGAAATACATTGGATCCATGAAAAGATGGTTCACCTGTTTCCTTCAAGTTCGGCAACAATTTTTGCAGCATGAGACCAATCCAAGGCATCTTCTTCTTTATTCAGCCATTTCTGCAGCACCTTTACACAGTGTTCATTAAGCTCTAGAATAGTGATGTCTTTGAAGTATTTACAAAGTGGTAACAAATGGAAAATAACAGGGCCAACAGAATGGTCAATCAAGGTGCTTCCTCTAAGACGACCTGGAGAAGAACAAGTTGGAAATAAAAATAATAAAATGTAAAAAAAAAAATACAAATAAAAAAATATTTTTTTTTTAAAACAATTTTTGCCTACATTTTTAAATGTCAGTCCTATTACTGCTCCTTAACCAAAAACGAATCCCCCATTGTGCATTGTGTGACTAGGTTACTATATATTTGAGAATATTATATTAAAAAAAAGGGATAGAACCCTCTACCCACATACTGAGATGTATATATTCATTTTGGGTAAGTAATGTTAAGTGACCTGGTACACTAGTTTAGCTAATCCACCAGATTTATGATGACCATGTGATGGAGAAAGAAAAAAAATAAAAAGGAATTTTTAATTAACTGGAGTGATATTCTGGTCTCCTAACAAAGTAATTTATCTTGAAAATTCCCCAGACACTATGAAACAGAATTAAGGCAACAACAACCTGTGTTAATGTTTATTTTTTGCTTAAACCCCTTTACTTCCAAGTGGTTTGCAAAAAAAATGTGGGTGTCCTGGAAAGTAATTTGTATATGTGTTTTTAATTTCTGTATGCATAGATAGCACATTATGCCATGTAACAATTTTTTAGACAGAAAAACTCTTTTTCAAATCATATACCAAATAGAGAAGGTGCAGATAAACATACATTGTTCAAAATAACTAACATTTCAGAATATGTGACATTCACATACATATGTTGTCCTATGTATTGAATATGTATATTATATATGTTGCCACTTTACCATGGCATTGGCCATATCATATCAAACTTGTACTGCAGCCATGGACACACACACTAATACACCTACACAATGATACATGCACACATATACACACTGGGATGCATGCACACATATATACAAACTCTGATACACGTACACATTGATGCAAAGAGACACACATATTGACAAATATGGGCATTTAGTCACATTGTGTGTTAAAAGGTTTATCTGTGTGCATTGTGACTATGTGTGTGTCTGAAAGTGAGTATCCTTGTTTGTGAATGTGTATTTCTGTGAGCATCTCTGTGTCTGAGAGCATAAGTGTGTAGAGAAGATGCTTGTGGTGTGCTGCGTGTAATTATTATTTTTTTTATTTTATTATTTACATAGCGCCATCAGATTCCGTAGCGCTGTACAATGGAGGATGCTTGAGATAGGTGACTGTGTGTTTGAGGATGACTTTCGTTAGAGGTGTCAGCATGAGTGTGACATGGCAAGGAAAATAGTATGATAGGATGAGTGTGGCAAGGTGAGAGGGCAAGTGCAACAGGATTGGGGTGAGTGTGACTAGATGAGTGTACTTGAGTAAATGGGGAGAGTGAAACAAGATAGGGGTTGAGTATGACAGAGTTGGGTTGTGAGTGTGAAGATTTTAGGGGGTATGTATGATAGGGTGAGTGAGGCAGGGTGATAGAGGCTTAGTGTAACAGTGTTTGGGGAGTGACCGTGACAGTGTTATAGCTGCTGAGTAAAACAATGTTGTGGGGGTGAGTTTGTCAAAGTTTGGGGAGCGTGACAGAGTGAGGGGAGACTGACAGGGTGAGTATTAAGGAGTGACTATGTATTGGGCTCTGTGGGGGATAGATAGTGAGAATGCTGTTTTTCTGTGTCCAGCCTCTACGCATACTAAATTAAAACATTAAAATCATGTATAAATGATTCCAGGGTGCTTGCCCTGGAAATTGTATATACATGGGTACCAGTGTGAATGGGTTAATTATAACAAGATTTAGTTTAAAAACACAAAATTCACTATTACCTCTAGACTTTGGTATCTTATGTTAATCCTCAAATGTCATTTATAAAACACTATATTTTAACACACTGAAATTTCTTCCTTCCATCTATGTCCAAGGCAGCATACTACATTGTTACATATATAATAAGCAATATATACGGTGCAATTATAGGTGCATTCTGGCTTCCTGTATCATACAGGTTTCGATTCAAAATACTAACCCTTACCTATAAAGCTCTAACCAACTCTAGCCCCTCTTACATTTCTTCCCAGATTCACAGATATGCCCCTTCTCCGCCTCCCCCCTCTGCAGGTGACCTTCTCCTGCCCGTAGCTCGCACCCTTACTGCTAACTCACGCTTGCAGGACTTCTTGCGGGCGACTACCTTCTTTTGGAACAGCCTGCATACCCCAATCAGACTCTCCCCTTGTCTTCAATTGTTTAAGAAGTCCCTCAAACCAAATCTGTTCAGAAATGTTTATGGATTCCCAGAGTAACTATCTATACTTACCCAAGTCTGTCTCTTGCTCTCCTAAAGAGGCTTCCTCCACTCTCACCTCCAGCTCTGCTACTTTTCCACCTTGTTTGGTGGCTGTCACCCTTGCTGCCCTGTTGTACCCCACCTCATCTAGACTGTAAGCTCGTTTGAGCATGGTCCTCATCTACCTATTGTTCCTGAGTCACTGTGTAAATGTCTCATGTATTGTAATGTCTCATGTAAATGTTTTATAACATTGTAAGGCTCTGCAGAATTAGTTGGTGCTATATAAATACCAATAATAATAATAATCATAATATATATAATTTGCACGAGTGCACTTGCTTTTTTTTATTGAAATTAGTTGGATAGAGATGTTTTCTGAGATTTAAGAATGCTGGCATATTTTTTTTTTTTTCTGCCAGGTTATTCCATTTCCATATAAATTGTACTATCTTATAAATTGTTCTATATTTATAAATTGCTCTAGCTGTATCACTTTAACCCAGAATTGTTGCTCTTTTGCAATAATAAATTTGGCCCCTGGCATTAAACAGTAAAAGCTATTTAAATAGAAAAACAGAAATAAAAACATACCTGATTTTACCTCACTGAAAATTAACTTCATAGGGAAAAATAAAAGCTCATCAGTGTGCTTCTTATCTGCCCCGGCACCAGTGTAAGTGTCATATAATTTGTTTGCATCAACGTGATCCTTGTGATAGAATTTATGAGAGCTGGGATCCATCATGGAGTTCTGTAGCACGATGTGATCCGGTTCTCTACTTAATGGATTTATATGTAGAGACGTTCAGTAAATTATGGGAAATACAAATAATTATATACATAAAAGATAAAAAATAATGTTTAAAGTTAGTTTTATGAGTTAAATTAATTAAATTTTGCTGATATTTACAAAGCACAAAGTTCACACGCTGTTTGGCATTCCCACACTGAAAGAAACATTGCAATAATGATACTGAGCTCTTTCAAAAGAAGAAAAATGAACTCATCACATTTTGACATTAACATTTTAGTATTAACAGTAGCAACAGTTTTTTTTTTTTAAATTAATTTTTAATTCTTTATTTATGATGTGGAATTAAACAAGGTCAGTAATGACAGGTTATCCACACATTTTGTAAACAAACGCTTATATTCCATGAATACAAAGAGAATATGTCATAGCGTATAAAAATATAACATTATAACAGTTAAGAGTCCTTACTTCTATACAACTCACCATTCATATGTAGCATCACTTTCTGTCTCCCAGACACCTACACTTGTACCTCTCCATTCACACTCGGAAGCCCTTTCTAGGACTTCACTCTGTCGCCAGTCAAACACCTTTGTACTCTGAGAAACACCTGAGAAACACCCACCTATCCTGTTACGGCCACCCAGATAGTGAGAGGGCTGTATGCCATTGGAGATGTCCTTTTCCCACGCTGTGTAATTTGACTCATAACTCTAATCCACCAATCAGAGAGTTATGAGTCAAATTACACAGCGTGGGAAAATTCCAAAGAACTTTCCCACGCTGTGTAAAATGACACAGAGCACTCTGATTGGTGGATTTCAAACCAACCAATCAGGGTGCTGTGACAAGTAAATGTAGAGACTTACCTGTCAGTCTCTTCATTTACCTGTCAGAGCACTCTGATTGGTTGGTTTGAAATCCACCAATCAGAGTGCTCTGAGCCTAATTGCAGGGCGGGGCAAGGCTTTATAAGCCTTCCCCCGCCCTGCAGAGTTCAGTCTGCGCGGAGCCCTCGCCGGGTGAAGATGGATTATTTTTTTGTGCTCGTTTTTTTTTCTTTTTTTTTTTTAATTGCGTCGGTTATTATGGTTTTTTATTTGGCCTTTTTTGGGGCTGAAAAAAGAAGATTTAGAAGAAAGAAAACATCGAATGGTAAGTTTTTTTTTTTTTTTACAGGTACTTAGTTAAAGGTCCCCCCTCATTATTTTTAGGGTGAGGGGGGTAGGTAGGGGGATAATTTTTTTGGGGGGGGCAGGGGGTGACTAGGGGTTTGGGGGCCCCTAGTCACCTGGGGGGGGATATTTTTTTTAGGGCCCCCACCCGCCGCTCAGGGATGGGGGCCGGGGGGGAGGACATTAGATCCCCCCTTTTTAGTATTTAGGGCCCCCACCCGCCGCTCAGGGGTGGGGGCCAGGGGGAGGACCTTAGGTCCCCCCCATTGTGATTTATTTGCCCCCACCCACCGCTCAGGGGTGGGGGCCGGGGGGGAGGACATTAGGTCCCCCCCCTTTTTAGTATTTAGGGCCCCCAACTGCCGCTCAGGGGTGGGGGCCAGGGGGGAGGACCTTAGTTCCCCCCATTGTGACGTATTTGCCCCCACCTACCGTTCAGGGGTGGGGGCCGGGGGGAGGACATTAGGTCCCCCCATTGTGATTTTTTTTAGTATTTAGGCCCCCCCTTTTTAGTATTTAGGGCCCCCATCCGTCGCTCAGGGGTGGGGGCCAGGGGGGAGGACCTTAGGTCCCCCCCATTGTGATTTATTTGCCCCCACCCACTGCGCAGGGGTGGGGGCCGGGGGGTAGGACAGTAGGTCCCCCCCTCATTATTTTTATGGCCCCCACCCACCACGCAGGGGTGGGGGTGGGGGGGAGGACAGTAGGTCCCCCCCCTCATTATCTTTATGGCCCCCACCCGCTGCCCAGGGGTGGGGGCCGGGGGGAGGAGAGTAGGTCCCCCCCTCATAATCTTTATGGCCCCCACCCGCCGCCCATGGGTGGGGGCCGGGTGGGAGGACAGTAGGTCCTTCCCCCCATTGTAATTTATGGCCCCCACCCGTCGCACAGGGGTGGGGGCAATAGATTTTTTTTGTTTTGTTTTTTTACAGTGAGCAGCCACTGGCTGCTCACTGCTTACTAGACATGCCCCTACTCGCTGCATAGCGAGCAGGGGCAGAATTTACTAATACTAAGTAATCTTTACTTAGTAAATGTGGCTGAAAGACCAATTTAGGTCTTTCAGCCTTTTAGTAGATAACTCCCTAATACCGTGGGAATTAGGGAGTTATCTACTAAGGGGCTGCAAGATGCAGCTGCGGATCGGAGTTTGCATGCCACAGTCCAGGTGTTAGTCCCCTTGAAACAACTTGTGGGTTTTAAAATTCGCCTGCCTATTGAAGTCTATGGCGGTTCGCCAGGTTTGCGGGTTCGCGAACATTTGCCGAAGTTTGCCATTCGCGAACCGAAAATTTCATGTTCACGACATCACTATTCAGGAGCGGCTTGACGAGAGGAATACGACATCTGAAGCCCATGTCCAGGATCCGTCTGTGTGTGGTGGCTTTTGATGCTCTGACTCCAGCCTCAGTCCACTCCTTGTGAAAGTCCCCAACACATTTTAATGGCCTTTCCTGACAATCCTCTCAAGGCTGCGGTCATCCCTGCTGCTTGTGCACCTTTTTCTTCCACACTTTCCCCTTCCACATAACTTTCTATTAATGTGCTTTGATACAGCGCTTTGGGAACATCCAACTTCCTTTGCAATTACCTTTTGAGGCTTCCCCCCTTTATGTAGGGTATCATTTCTGCACAACTGTCAGGTCAGCAGTATTCCCGATGATTGTGGTTCCTACTGAACCAGACTGAGAGACCATTTAAAGACTCAGAAACCCTTTGCAGGTGTTATGGCTTACTTGGCTGATTAGAGTGGGACAACGTGAGCCTAGAATATTGCACCTTTTCACAATATTCTAATTTACTGAGATTGTGGGGTTTTCATGAGCTGTAAGCCATAATCATCGCACTTATGACAAATCACGGCTTGAACTATCTTGCTTTGCATGTAATGCATCTATCTCATATATTAGTTTCCCTTTTTACGTTGCATTACTGAAATAAATGAACTTTTGCACAATATTCTAATTTTTAGAGTATCACCTGTATATTGTATAGAAGTGTAAAGAGTATGGTAAGAGTACATGTAAAAAGTAGCTATTTAGATTTAAAAAGATACTTTTTCATATTGCAATAGATATATTTGTTATTTGTTTTTACTATAACTTTTGGTTACATGTACTCTTACTGTAGCTCTCTATCACTTCTATATAAAATACTGATCTATATCCAGTTTTGAATGACCCTACTACACGGGGGCACTAGGCACAGTTTAGGCAACATGCCCCTACGCATGTGGGAGGATTTAACCTCCCTTTTATTAATATGGGGTTCATAGTGACCCCCATAAGTTTTAATGCAGGGATGGGGGGTAAAGGTTGGAATTAATATTTATTATAAGGAAGGAGCTGGTAGCGCCTCCTTGTTTGTTTTTTTGTCGTGCATGCGAACTGTTATTTCTCTGTTCTGTGGGGGTTAATTCCCCTGCAGCACAGAGTCTATTAAACGAATAATATGAAATAAAAAGGTAATACATTCGGCATTTGACCTTTCGTTTGGTTTATATTTAGTTTGTAGGGCTTTCGTTTAAATTTTAATAAACGAATATGAAAAAACAAAACAAATTGTCTGACAAAATCATATTCTTACGAAAATGAAAGCACATGTCTAATATATATGTAACTTTCCAAAACAAACTTAAAATCTGTACAAAGGGGTACTGTTGTACTGTGAGACTTCACTGAACACAAATATACGTGTTTTAAAACAGCAAAATAGTAATATCCTTTGGCCATGGGCGGTGGCCAGCTACCTTCATTCCTTTCTCCCATTGATATAGCATAGACCAACCAGTATCAGGCCGAGAAACAGAAGGATAGGCATGTTGGGCTGGAGATGTCCAGACATCAGATGCCAGTTATTTGATTGGAATTTTAAGTTAATATGGGTTCATCTCAGGAGTTTGTGAAGTCAGATAATTTGGAGGCTGCTCTCCACAGCTCCTACCAATTCTTGTAACTTAACTCTTACCACCTTCTCAATACAGCATCCTGTACTCTTACACACCTACGGTTCTTATAACAGAGTCAATATATTGCTTATGTGGGATAAGAGCAGACATCTAAGTAAGATACAGAACACACTTGTGAAATATTATCCTCCTACTAGACCACTCAGATATTCATGAAATCATACACAACTCATCCCAAGTCTACAAGTCAAAATAATGCATTCCTACTGGCATATCCTCCTGTATACTCTCCACTCATCTATTGCACCTGGCCTTACTAATGTCTCAAATTATTTTGATACATTTTGTATGACAAATGTTCAGACTTTTTTACCAAGTAGTAAAAACAGAAAACAGAAGCCCTTAAACAGAATCAAGATGACCTGATCTTAAATACCAAAAGAAATATAGATTCTAAATATAAGGAAAATATAGCCCCTATGGTGTTCGAATATAACATTGATTGTAGAAAGATCAAATCGATTAAAGGGAAACAATGGCATATTTTAAAAAAAGATAACGAACATTCTAACCTTCTCCCTAGTAGACCTTTTATCACTTTTAGAGGAGTGCCCAATTTCAAACAGATTTGAAGTTTTAACCACCCCAAAGAAGAGACACATAAGACCTTTTTAAATTATAAAAAAGGATTTTATTCATGTGGATTATGCACAGGCTGTAAATGCAGCAAGAATAGAACCCTAAAGGGTATCAACAAATTTAGGACGAAATATAAAGATGAGGATTTTTATATAAAGGATTTTATTGCTTGTTTTAGTAAGAACGTTATTTATCTTTTAATTTGCCCATGCGGCCTATAATATGTAGGTCGCACAATTCGTCCATTACACAAGAGGATTTATGAA